CATAAGCCAATGTGTAAACATAAGCCTAGCCTAAGTTTATCCTTAGGCTTCAGTTATCGCGCAGCTCTAGTGACCTGCCCGAGGAGGGAACTGAAGTCTCTCCTCGTGAACGGAACACAACCTCCTCGTTGGTACTTGTACTGACATACCGTTGACCCTGAATACAAGTTCGCGAATTTCTACTGCTCCTTAATAATAGCCGAAGATTCGTGTCGGACGCACTGTGGCGTGTGCGAGGCAGAGTTGCGGCTGGTATAATTTACGTGGCCGAAATGTTCCAAATTAACAACACCGTCATATTGGGGAAGTTACCAAACAGGAAGCAGTATGCTCATTGGGTGGCCACTTTCTTCGTTAAGAAATAAAAGAATGAAAGAAGAAAGAAGATTTTCTGGAAAGTCATCAACGGTGTTGTTTAGGCAGGTGTTGTCGAGTAGGTCCATGGCTTTTAGAGCGACTATTCAACTTATCGAGTTCCTATCATGCTTGTAGCAGTTATTTGAATTTGGCACAAGAGCATTGCATAGGTCTTGACGTGGGGTAACTGTGCTACCACTTCTCCAAGATAATGAATTCTACGACATTCTGAGGCATCAATTTCTTGACAATTGTACACTGTAGATGAGCATCCAATCTTGCCCTTCCTTCCGGAGGTCTTCTCAGACCGGATCATCAACCGAGACTGAAGGAAATCGAGTTCATTCTCACTGTCCAGTTTGTATCTTGACCAGCCCAGGTCCGAAGTGTCTCGAACTCGTGATTCCTGCTCTTATAATTACTGTGAAAGCCATCACTGAGTGGTTGATTGGCTTTTCACTAGCACTGGTTCCGGTGCCCTTCTTCCTCAAGACCGGCACGACGAATGTCTTGCATCTTTGCTTTCTATTCAATTTCTTCGCACCGACCCGAAATTAGGCTTTTTTAGTGTAAACCTACCTGCTAAGATGAGTGCAAACAATACTTTGCAAGGAAGTGCGTCCGATAGCAGTTTCAGCGACCAAACGACGGATTGAGCAGCTGGCTTCCAGCGCTTGTTCGCACGTATCTTCGAGATATTACTCGTGAAGTCGCAGAAGCAAGTCCTCCGAGGTCCAGGCCTATTGATGCTGGTGAACGGCCTATCGAAATTCGTAATGGTGTCGATGGAAGTTTCATGAGCCTTTGGATCGTCTTGCAACGTAACACAATCACAAAGCTCCATACGGAGCAAAATAGCTAGTGTTATTGAAGTGTTTTCGAAATGCGCAACCTACCGCAATTTTTGCCCACACTTTATACAGGGTTGGCCAAAAAAGTGGCGCAACATTTCAGTTCAGACAGCATCAATCACACTTTGCTGGATTGTGATCGGCTGCTCTCGACTTAAAGGCAGCGGTTACGCTAGGTTTAAATGTGGTTTGGAGGGGACGAGGGGGTCCTCAATAGTACATCAGTGGCGAAAAAAGCAAAGAAATCCGTCAAAAATAAGCAAAATAGTACCAGATAACGTCACAATGCGGTCCATGAACCGTCGAGGGTCACGTTGAGCTCAAAAAAGGTCTAAGGTTTCCATGGCGAATTGTTCAGATGTCGTTGGTGCAGAAAGCTGTAATAAAGTTTATTGGTAGAATGGGATGTGCTCTTCAAAATTAAGGAGAGTCGGCGGAATAGGAATTTTACACATTCTTGCGGCACAAACTGCCTCCCAAGAGCAATTACGAAGGCCGCAAGCCGAAGCGCATGTGTGGTGGGCGCTCTTCACTTGCTCGAACAGTGCTAGTGGGTTGGCTGTGGTTGCTGAGCAGGACCATTGCGCCCTTCCGCCCCATGCGCCGCCCCGCCCACTGGTTTTGTTGATGATCTGGATGGACTGATTGCTGTTGGCTTTTCATTTTGGATGATCTTTTCCCATCTAGCGGCTGTATCTTCCATCTTGCCCATGTTATGCCTTATCAATCGAAACACTATGCTTGTTGGCATGATGGCAGCTATCGGGGTTAACACGTCCGAACAACCTCAGTCTTTACCGTCGCTCATCCATGATCGAAAATGAAAGGGCAATCAAAGGGGCACTATTTTGCTTATTTTTGACGGATTTCTTTGCTTTTTTTCGCCACTGATGTACTATTGAGGACTCCCTCGTCCCCTCCAAACCACATTTAAACCTAGCGTAACCGCTGCCTTTAAACCCTGCAATCCGGAATACGAAATAGAAATTGTTTCTTAGTAGTTCAGTCTTTACGAG